TCCTAGTAGTTCTATTTCCAATCATGCTGCCTCCTAAGGCACCAGGGAAAGCCGTGAAGGATGGCCAATGGAAGATCCAGGCTCTTGGCTGTGACCAGCCCAGCCCTGCAGCCATTTGGGGAGTGAATTAGCAGGATGGAAGATACCCTTCTCTCTCTCCATTTCTGCAACTCTCCCTTCCAAATAAACAGTATTAAAAAAAAAAAACACAACCTAAAATAAAGCCTCTAGTTTTTGCAAATTAATTGGTTTTCTTAAATGTACAGTAAATTCCATGTCTTATAAAAAAAACTTGATTACCATTATTTCTCCTGTCTTCATTTTTTCATTTTGTTTTATTTGAAAGAAAGAGAGAGATACAGGCACAGAGAGCTATCCACTGGTTTACTCCCTTAAAGACCCCAGTGGCCAGGACTGAGCCAGCCTAAAGCTGAGAACTCAATCGTGGTCTTTAGTGTGTGGCAGGAACCCACACTACTATCACCACTGATATCACCACTGAGCTAATGCCACTGCCCCCCAGGGCCGGCCTTGGGAGGAAGTCGGAGTCAGAGCTAGAAGCAGGCAGCAAACCCAGTGCTACGGTCCTGTCTTCTTAACTACTAGGGCAGAGATACACACCCTATTATATCTTTGCTTTTGGTATTTAATAGCTGTTAAGACTTACATTGTTATTCTTTATATGAGAAATTCAGAATGTTTCTGTCTTTATTAGATCGTTAACCATAGACAGTTGCTTATGTCCCACTGTATGACTCCACTGACCATGCAGCAAGAAATGCACAATCACTTATATTACCACTTTTTCCAGTGCTACTTTCAGCCAAGGTGGAATAATTTAACCACATTATAACTTACACTACGTCTACAAAGTAGCACAAAATGTTAGAATTGCTATAATAGTAGATCATGGCATTTTCATAAAAATCTCTCCTGATAATTTATGTTAAATTTCCATCTAGATTGAAATATAACCATTTCAGTTTACCTGAACTAATAGGTTAGTAACTTTCGCAGAAATCTAAGGCTCCAGTTGTGAAAGCCCCTGAGTCTCCTTTAATAAAATGAAAACCACCTTGCATGCACTCCTTTTTATTGTAAGTTCTGTGACCAGAGACACGTCCAGAGCAAGAATGAGAAGATCAGAATAAGTGCAGTTTGGTTGGTGACTGAAAGCATCTCGCTCTCTCAAATTTGTGGATTAAACAGAATGCCTATTTTTATCTGCATTCCATTAGATTAAAAATAACTGTAAAAGTTTAAACGTTACTTAGTCCTATTCATGGTATTTCACCAAAATTTAACCTTGAAAGAGCTTTTTATTTGTTTTGTCAGATTAAATGCTCTTACTACCAGCAACTAGATGGTACTGTCTATGCTTAATTATAAATCTCAGCCCTAAAAAACTACTTAAAATTTTGTTCTATCCTTTTTCCTTTTTATTTCTCAGTTCTCATTCTAAAGGATATCTTAATAGGTAATTAGCCTAAAAACTAGCAAATAAGTGTCTTTGCTTTTCACTGAGAAAACTAGACTGTGTGACATGCGGCACACTCCCTATTGATTGTCCGAAAGGGAACGTCATTGATAGTATTGTCTTCACGTGCCAATTTGAGGTCTCTAGGAGTCGCTTAGGAGCAGGTGTCAGCACTCAGGAGTGGACGCCTGGACTCCCAGTTATGGGCTGCAGGAGTAGGGTGGACCTTGTGGGAGTGGGCATCCTTGTGCCAGAGAGCTCTGTTTATACTTTTGTTTCACTTTATTTTGTCTTATCTGGAAATTCACAAAATAAGGCAATTTTAAGTGTTTAGAAAACTAAATCTATTACTGGGTCATGAGTTGTTAGATTTTAAAAAGCACAGACAGTTTACAGGGTACCCAATATGTCTGAGTATTGTCTTAGACATACTTAATACTAAAAAAGTATTTGTTGTTCACCTGAAATCCACATTTAACTGGGCACCCAGAACTTCTGGCAGATCTGATAAGGTATCTGTATAACTTATCAAAACCAGGACACGGGCCCGGCATGGTGGCGCAAGTGGTTAAAGGTCTTCGCCTTGCACACCCGGGATCCCATATGGGCGCTGGTTCTAATCCCGGCAGCCCCGCTTCCCTTCCAGCTCCCTGCCTGTGGCCCAGGAAAGCAGTCGAGGACGGCCCAAAGCCTTGGGAGCCTGCACCCGCGTGGGAGACCCGGAAGAGGCTCCTGGCTTCAGATCGGCATAGTATCGGCCCGTTGCGCTCACTTGGGGAGTGAATCATCGAACGGAAGATCTTCCTCTCTGTCTCTCCTCTCTGTATATCTGCCTTTCCAATAAAAAAAATAATAATAAAAATAAATCTTTAAAAAAAAAAAACCAGGACACTTTGAGATTGCAATGGGATACCATTAATAATTATGCTGAGACAACAAGTATAAACTGGAGTAATTAAAAAGTATGGCCAGGCCCAGTGCAGCAGCCTAACGGCTAAAGTCCTCGCTTTGCAGGCACTGGGATCCCTTATGGGTGCTGCTTTGTATCCCAGCTTCCCCACTTCCCATCCAGCCCCTGCCTATTGCCTGGGAAAGCAGTTGAGGACGGCCCAAAGCCTTTGGACCCTGCACCTGCATGGGAGACCCAGAAGAAGCTTCTGGCTTCGGATCAGCTCAGCTCCAGCCGTTGCAGCCACTTGGGGGGGTGAACCGGCAAATTAAACAGATCTTTCTCTCTGTTTCTCCTTTTCTCTGTAGATCTGCCTTTCTAATAAAAATAAATAAATCTTTTTTAAAAATGCATAGCCAAACTAATTAAGAGATTTAAAATAATTTAAAATTATTTATTATGTATTTGGAAACCAGAATGAGAAGAGACAGTGGGGGACAGACAGAAGTTGTGTCTGCCAGTTCATTCCCCAAGTGCCACAATAGCTGGGCCTGAATTAGGCAGAACTCAAGATCCGGGATATTTATTCAAGTCTCGACGCAGGTCACAGGGCTCCGGTTACCTGGGCCATCGGCTCCTGCCTTCCCAGGTGTGTTAGCAGGAAGCTGGATTGGGAACAGGGTAGCCAGGACCCAAGCCAGCACTCCAGTATGGTGCACAGTCATCCCAGGCAGCAGTTTAACCCGCTTATGTCACCATACCAACCACTATTTTCTTTAAATGTTCATAATCATTCACATCTGTATATCTTCAAGTTTTGTGGCTATGAATCTTTATAAATGTGAAATGCGTCATTTTATAATTCTTATACTTTTATTAAAGTGGGCAGCACTGTGGCACAGTGGGTTAAGCTACCACCTGCATGGCTGGCATCCCAATGTGTGCCAGTTCAAGTCCTGGCTGTTCCCCTTCAATCCAGCCTAGGAAAGCAATAGAAGCTGGCCCAGGTGCTTGGGCCTCTTCATCCTCATGGGAGACTCCGAATAGATTCCAGCCTCGTGGCTTTAGCTTTTCCCAGGCTTGAAAGAGAGTAAGCTCCAAAAAATAGTTTTAGGTGGAAAAAGCAAAGTACACTACACTGTATAGAATATTTACCGTTTATATAGACAAAAAAGGAAAGATATTACATAAAACATCATCTGCAGTGTAATCTCTAGGATTATACAAAATGCTTATTTAAAAACCTGGTTACCTTGGATAAAGAGAACTGCTGACTTGGCTACACATGCTGTATTTGTACCGTTTGAGTTCTCCATCAATGTGAAAACAATAAAAAATCATCTTATGTCCTTTCAAAATAACAATGTAGAATGTATTTTAAAGTAATCAGCATCATATAGAGCAAGAGTTGACACTCAAAACAATAAAAGTAGGAAAACATTTTTAAAGAAACTTCTTTATTAGAGAAACGACATAATCCTGTAAAACATTTTTTTTTAAATGTAATCTGATATGAGTCATGGCTCAAAGATTCCAGGCAATTCAAGTATATTGGATTCTGGTATGTCTTAAATCTAATTTATAAATTAGGATTCAGAAATATTATCAATCAGTTATAGGCTGGTTCCTGAAAACAAATAATTAATGTAGACAAATTGTAATATCCTGTGGATCAATAGAACAGATGTTGGAATAGGACAGAAACATACAGTTCCTGCTCAGTAAGAATCAGACAGACTCCTAGAAGAATTGCCAGGTGAAGGAATGTATGCATTTGACACTTTGATCAGTTTTACCAACTGGTTCTTCTTCTGGAGTGAGTGCTGCCTAATACCACCCCCCCGCCAGTGTGTCTTTGCTAAGTCTGGCTATTGTTGAACCTTTTTTTCAGTTTTTTTCCAGCTTACTAGAAGAAAAAAGGACTCTTGGTCAACATTTTTAGTTCATTATCTTTGATTTTTAAAGTTTGCCATTTCTGAACTATTTATGGGTTTTGTCAGTTTTTCTTTTTCACTTTATTTTGTTCTTTTTAATACTAGGAAATGCAATGTTCTTGTGTAGTAAAGATTTTTTTCCAGGTTGTCATTAATTTTAGCTTGTATATGATCTGTAAATTGACATACTATGACCAGGTGATATGTAAGGTGGGGAGCTATTGGAGTCAAGTCAGTGAAGGTCAAAATCAGTCAAGCTGCTTATCATTTTTTAAATAAGAAAAGTGATATGGGGACCTGGCATGATGGCTCAATGGCTTAATCCTTGCCTTAAAACCGCCAAGATCCCATGTGGGTGCTGGTTCGTGTCCCAACTACTCCACTTCCCTTCCAGTAGCTGAGGCTGGCCCGAGGCCTTGAGACCCTGCACCCACGAGGGAGACCCAAAAGAAGCTGCTGGTTTCTGGCTTCTGATCGGCTGAGCTCCAGCCATTGTGGCCATTTGGAGAGCAAACCAGTGGATGGAAGATTTATTTATCTCTCTGTCTCTCCTTCTCTCCATAAATCTGATCTGCCTTTCTAATAAAAATAAATAATTTTTTTTAAAAAAATAAAAGTGACGTGACAAAAGTTATAGTGTTAATATCTAGTTAGAATAACTGTGCTGAACATATACATATATTTTATATTTTTCCCCTAGAGGTTTTGTCGGCTATGATTAGCGTATTGTTGGTGTATATACTAATGGGATTCCTCTTATATGAAGCTGTGCAAAGAACTATCCATATGAACTATGAGATAAATGGAGATATAATGCTCATCACCGCAGCTATTGGAGTTGCAGTTAATATAATGTAAGTTCAGTGTTTTTCATGGCCATCTTGTAAGTACTGTGATCTTATTGTAGATGCATTCAGTGATGTAAAGTGATACTTTAATATTTTTTAGTTTACATAGTACATTAATCTTCCTTATGAAAACACTTGAGCATTCTAAGGTCCTTGTTTGCTGATACACGCTGGAATTTTACTAAGAATCAAGAATTAAATACAACAAAGATTGTTGTTGTTTGATTTTTGGAATACACAATGTTAACTAGATTTTTTTTAAACTGTCCTTCTCCCTAAAAGCTTTCCAATTTTACTTGTATCCTCCATCACTTAGGGCAGGTGCCAGCAGACTTTTCCTGTAAAGGTCTAGACAGTAAGTGTGTTACGCTCTGTGAACCACAGCCTCTCAGTTACTCACCTCTGCTGTGGAAGAATGGAAGCAGCCAGCCTCGGGTGAAAACACGTGAGCATGGTGTTCCCGTAAAACCAAGGCACAAAACAGCAGCCCTACCCAAAGTGGCTTCTGTTCATATCTAGAATAAAATGAAAAAGCCTTGCGATAGCCTTTCTATAAGACCCTGTCCATGTACCATTCCAAGTGCCCTCAGAGCACTTTTGCTTATTTAGCTTTGGCCACAATGGCTGTCTTTTTTCTCAAACATTTGGAGTGCATTTCCCCCTATGGCCTTGGCCCTGATTCTTCAGCCTGGAGCACTCTGCCAGCACACTCGTGTGTGTGTGTGTGTGTGTGTGTGTGTGTGTGTGTGTGTGTGTGTGTGTGTGGCCTTCTCTCAGCACTCTTCCCATCATTCTGTATCTCTTTGTGGTGCTTACATTCACACAGGCTCTGTACACTACATATTTGTTGCACCGGCTCTACACGAACATAGCTCTGTGCAAGTAGGGGTAGGTATGTCTTGCTGTTTTCAAGCCAACATCTACCACAGAATACTAATGGGTGCTCAAGTTCTTGCTAAATAAATGACTTTGATGTTGCCTCATCAGTGTCTGCTAGTAACATTTTTGTCAGTAATATTGGGAAAAACAATATTTTCTTTTGTTTTTAACAGAATGGGGTTTCTGTTGAATCAGTCTGGCCATCATCACTCGCACTCCCACACGCTGCCTTCCAGCTCGCCTAGCGCAGGGCCTGGCAGACACAGCCACGGGCAGGACAGCCTGGCAGTGAGAGCTGCATTTGTACATGCCTTGGGAGATCTGGTACAGAGTGTTGGCGTGCTGATAGCTGCATACATCATACGATTCAAGGTAACATGATGACTGATTTTTCTATTTTAAAATGGATTTAATTTCAGCATTAAAACTAAAGCTGACTACCTTTTATCAATATTCTGAACTTTGATGACAGTTCTGTTCATTTTGAACATTAAAACCAGAGCTGACTCTTGACCTCAAATGCCAGTTCTATTCATTTTATATTTCTGTAAACTTAATTAATTATTGGTATAGCAACACTTTTGTTTTCTGTTTGTTTTTTTGTGGTTTTTTTTTTTTTTTTTTTAGTTTCTTTATTTTTGACAATCTTTACATAGTTGATTAGGGCACAAAGGGTTAAAGGCTACGGGAAAGTGGGTAAGACTATTGTTTCTACATTATTGCTTTTTTTTTTCTGTATCTGGGATAAAGGGGGAGATAAGTAGAGATAAAGGGAGAAACCCCACCCAGCCTCCCACTACACCAAACATAACGCTTTGATGTTGAACGAGCAAAAAGAGTTTAGTGAAGGCACAGAGAGAACAATAGGACAAGTGATTAAATGTCTAGAAATAGGTTCCTTGAGTAGAGTCATTTAAACAACCCGGAAAGAATGACAATTTTTTTGGTTACAATGTCCAAGTATTTTTAAGATTTTTTTTTTAATTGGCAAGTCAGATATACAGAGAGGAGGAAAGACAGAGAGGAAGATCTTCCATCCATTGAGTCATTCCTCAAGTGGCCACAACGGCTGGAGCTGAGCCTATCCAAAGCCAGGAGCCAGGAGCCTCTTCTGGATCTTCCACATGGGTGCAGGGTCCCAAGGCTTTGGGCCATCTTCAACTGCTTTCCCAGGCCACAAGCAGGGAGCTGGATGGGAAGTAGGGCTGCCAGAATTAGAACCAGCACCCATATGGGATCCTGGCACTTGCAAGGTGAGGACTTTAGCTGATAGGCTAGCATGCCTGGCCCTTCTTTGGCGTTCTTTAGCAGCAGTGGAGGATGCCTTTAAAACCTGGACATTGTGAGCCCAACATGGTAGCCTAGCAGCTAAAGTCCTAGCTATGCATGTACCAGCATCCCATATGGGTTCCAGTTATAATCCCAGCGACCCCGCTTCCCATCCAGCTCCCTACTTGTGGCCTGGGAAAGTAGTAGAGGATGGCCCAAGGCCTTGGGACCCTACATCTGTGTGGGAGACCTGGAAGAGGTTCCTGGATCCTGGCTTCAGATCAGCTCAGCTCTAGCCATTGGCACCCACTTAGAGGGTGAATCATCAGATGGAAGCTCTTCCCCTCTGTATATCTCACTTTCGAAATAAAATAAATGTTTAAAAAAGAAGAATGCCAAAGAACAGGAGGCATTGGTGCTGTTTTGCTTCGTAATAGGGGTGGAAACCTGCCAAGGACAATTTGGATATTTATAGCATCAATCACACACAAGTTAAAACTTAAAAATTAGCTCACTCTAAATGTGCTGCATTGAAAGCCCTGACTGGGGTTGCCTTAGCAGGACCAGACCAATTGATTCTGCAGACTTTGTATATGACCCACAGGCTAGATATTCCCTGCCCTTGCTTTATTGTTTCCGTTACATCTGTCTATACTTCCTCATAAAACTTTGATCTGTTCCTTTTTAGCCGGAATACAAGATTGCTGATCCCATCTGTACTTATGTATTTTCATTACTTGTGGCTTTTACAACATTTCGCATTGTATGGGACACAATAGTTATAATATTGGAAGGTAAGAGCTCATTAGTATCCCCTCTATGGGTCCATCATCTTGTAATGCACATTTGGCATCAGGGAGGTCTGTCTGGGTGGGAGCCATGTCTTCTGCTTTGTATGGGGACTTACCATGCCACATAACACTGTCTCATGTGCACATACCATAGACGGGTCTGCACCCTCTCCTGTCCATCTCCCCTTTGACCTTTTAAAAGTTAAGCCAAGTAGGCCAAGTGCGCAGTGAGGTCAGCTGGACACATTTACAAATAAGGAAACCCAGACTCAGAGAGATAAAAGCAAAGAAAGCAAACTGCTTAAAGTCCTGCTGGTGATGAACTGTAAAGCTAGAACAGCAGTGCAGTTGATCCTTAACGCAGTGACGCTTCATCTGTTCCTTCCATTTAACTCCCCTTGAACTTGCCTCTGCTTTGTCTACAACATCCTTCACTTACTGATGCTACGTTCTCAGCAGCAGGCTTATCTTCACTGGACGTTTCTCTCTCTTTTCTCTATTTTAAGTCTATCCTACAGTATCTGTTAAAGTATTCTGTTTTGAATGACATTTTTTTTTTTTAGCGAGAATGACTTTTTTAAACAGTATGTATTCACTTCTTGTGTATTATTCTCCATGTTAAATATTTTTAAGCTAAATTTTTTAAATCCACTTGTTTTCTTTGAAAAAAAAATGTCTGCAGCTTTTTTATGTAAAACTTTTTTTCCAAAATAAACTTTACTGATTAAAGTTTTCATTATGAACCAATAGGAGTACCCAGCCACTTGAACATAGACTGTATCAAAGACGCTTTGATGAAAATAGAAGATGTGTATTCGGTGGATGATTTAAACATCTGGTCTCTCACTTCAGGAAAATCTACTGCCATCGTTCACATGCAGCTAAGTACGTTGCTGAGGGTAAATATAAGTGTGGGATTAGGGAAACTTCCTTAAGAACGAAATTTGCTTATCATTAAGAAGACTTTTATGCAGAAAAGTTTGTTTTAAGGGTGCGGTGAGTTTCTTCAAAAAGTGAGTTTCAGGACACTACGTATAGTGCAATTGTTATTTCTGACTTCTTTGAGATGAGACATTACAAATTGATACTCACTTTCAAATTAAAGGGATTGGTATATAATTCTCATGTTCCATTCCCTTTAAGAAAAGCCAGAATTCTCTGTATTTTTTAATTGATTTTTATTTCACACATTGATGGTTTTTATTTTTTTATCAAAATAACACACACGTAATTTATTTTGAAGGTGAATGCCAGGCTTATCACTAATGTCTGCTCTTTGCCTGGGAATGGACGGCAGAGATTGGAAAATGAGAAACCATTTGAGAATTAGTGATGTGCAAGCAGACATCTCCTAAAGTTCATGGGAAAATGCAATTAAAAGATAAATTTGGGCCCAGTACAGTAACCTAGTAGCTAAAGTCCTTGCCTTGCGCGCACCGGGATCCCATCTGGATACCGGTTCAGTCCCAGCTGCCCTATGCACTTCGCATCCATCTCCCTGCCTGTGATCTAGCAGGGCAGTTGAAAACGGCCCAAAGCCTTGGGACCCTGCACCTGCGTGGGAGACCGGGAAGAAGCTCTCTCCTCTCTGTATATCTGACTTTCCAATAAAAATAAATAAATCTTTAAAAGAAAAAGATGAACCTATTTTGTTGCAAAAATATAAAATCTATTCATTCATAGTTGTCTCATAATATACATTTTCCACTTTTTGAAGATCCTTTATACTTGTCTAATGGAACAGCTTAGAGAGGATAGAAGCCAGACTAATCAAAGTACGCTCACCCGTCTAGTAAGGTTGCTTTTCCCCATATGTTTATTCCCTGGTGTGTGTTACAATGAATAGTAATGATGTTTTCTTGACTTTACAGTTCCTGGAAGTTCATCTAAATGGGAGGAAGTACAGTCCAAGGCAAAGCATTTGTTGCTGAACACGTTTGGCATGTATAAATGTACCATTCAGCTTCAGAGTTACAGGCAAGAAGTGGACAGAACTTGCGCAAACTGTCAGAGTGCCAGTCCCTAACTGTCCTTATTTGGGGGTCTGCTGCCTTATTTATCCTGCAGTCACAGACTGGCGAGCAATAAATGCAAATGTAGATGAGAATGTGGAGTCCCTGACAGCTCTTTCTATGCCCAGTACTAGTCTCTCAGAACAATCACTCCAGCTTGACAGTGCCAGTCTTTGCTTCTGGTAAATCGAGACTTGGTGATTTCCAGATGAAGATGTTTCCAAAACACTGTTTACAGAATGAGACGTGACTCTATAGATACCTCACAGAAGACAATCCGAGACCCTGCTTCACCAATTCAAGAGTACGTGTCTTACAGGAAGCTTCAAGCATTCAGTATTTGCATTTAAAAATACTTTTTAAAGGCTGTTTTATATATATCAAGCCAGTGCTGGAAAACTGAATTTTTTTTAAATTATGTAATCTTGACACCCAGCTTCTAGAATTGCTGCTCTCTTTTTACACAGATTACTTCTCAACGTATTTCAGAAATTATTAGAAATTATTCAGAAAGTGGAATGAGCATGCATTCCTAAATATTTCAGAAATGTTTTATTTCCCAAGTAAGTCTGAATGTTACTGTTATACTTTATACCTTTTCCAGATATAACAGGGTTTTGACTCTGACAGGTAATGTCTGTAATTATTTGTAAATCTTACAAGATCCAAATCTTCACATAATTGTGGCCACTGTCATTAAATTATCTAGGAAATATTTTCAATGTTCTGAATGGCAAAAGTTAGTCTTAACTCAAATTACTATATGATGATTTAAAACGGAAGAATAAAGATGGGGTGTGGCATTTCAGAATTGTCTTTCCCAAATCGCTTTAATTCGTGGAACTGTCTTAGGAACAGCAGGAGAGAGACAGCCAAAGGACACAGTGATCCTCTGTCCCTCCAGAGCTGCCAACACTTGACAAGTTGCTTTAGTGCCAGGACTCCCCCTCCAAGCAGATGTGTTTCAGCGTGAAACTGTGGGCCAGGGTTCAACTGTAATAACCCATCTCTCACATACAGACCAATCACATTACTCCAGAGCGAGCTTCTGGTTTACTGTGTGAGTTAAGACTCCCTGGACTCCAGGAACCAAGGTTAAGAAATAATTTTGAGGTTTTTCAATAATACAACAGCAGAAATGTGCAGAGGTGGTGGGAAGAGATCTTATTTTGGGAAAACAAAACAGTAATTTGGGGGGGACCATTCTGTATGTGTGTTTTAAATCTCTGGAATCTGAATGGATACTAAATCTTCTGTAGGAAAGCTAAGCCTAGAAGTTTCTGAACAGAACACCTAATTGGTAGTGGTTGTGCTAAGGAAGCAGTTGGGAATATTCCTGTTTCACTGTAGCCAGCCACTGGTTTGGAGATTACCTTTGTGCCCACAACAAGGCCCCTTTCAGTGGAAGCAATTTCCTGTAACAAGAGTGGCTATGGTTCCTGTGCTCTGCTGGGAACTAGGGTAGGGTAACAATGACTTCTACAGTGTAAGGTGTGGAGTGAAGTCCCAGGTAATCATCACTGATGACTTGTAATATAAATGAGGAAAGGAGATTCCATCTTTTGACCAAGTACTGTGCTGCAAGTAAGCCTACCAAGCCTGGGGATCCCAAGATTTTACCCAGGAATGTGAGAGGTGGATGGTATCAGCTAAACAGTTGGTGGCACCTAACTGAATACAATGAACACTCACTCCACAGGATTCTTACTGTGAATCTAATTAAAATAATTATTTGGATTTCTCTAAAAAATTTCAGGAGAATATAAACTGTTTCAATCAATCAAAATGCTCATATAAAAGGCAACTCATATAAAAGACAACTAAAAATAAATTCAGTGAACATGTGAGCATTTATGGACTTTGAGTATCTAGTAACTGGGCAAAATGCATTCTTACTAATGATTTTCTCATATCTACTGAGTGTATGCCTTGTCAGTTTTTCCTGTATCATAAAGACAGACTTAGATTTTCATACTGAACTGTTCCTCAAAAAGTTACTTGACAAAGACAATCTAAAATCCATTTGAGGATTGAAAAGGATCCTTTTATAAAATATAAAAATGCTGAAAACTTTTGTAAGTCATAATTATCGTGTTGTGCTTCAAGTGCGGCTCACATAAGGTTTCCTGTGCTTTGTTTTTGTATCAGGAACTACAGATTTTGTATTTGTACTTTCCTGGACCTACAAGATTTGAGAATTGACAGATTTTTTAAAAATAAATCTTGACAAAACCTGCAGAAAAGAACATTAGTAGTAATTAAGACCAGGGACTGCACACCTTGACTCCTCATTGGAGTGCCCAGAAACTTCCCTGCTGCCTTGGAAGAGCCAGGGCTTGAGTGGGACAAACACACAGCATGATTAATTTTGCGGTGGAACAGCAAAATTGCAACATTTCAGTTCTTCAGTATGATATATCTTAATATTTGGACATAGTCAGTTCCTTGCATACAGTATCCTGTGTAGCCTCTTGATTTGCTTCAGGAAAAGACCCACTGTCTCACAAACATCATCCCGCCTTAGAAATGTGATGGGAACATAGTTTAATGGAGCCTATTGTGGAAAGCTTTGCTATGCGGAACTAGAAGCTCCTATAATTCCTACATTACATACAGCATCATTTGTCAAATCACTGGATTCCTTATTTTACCATTTTCTTTCCGTTCCCAGAAGCTCCCCACTCTTCTGAGGCTCAGTGTCCTGTTTCCTCAGCCAGGTGTTCCAGCTGGCAGTATCTGTCTTCAGTAGAGCTTTCCCAGAATAGCTGTGGCCAAGTCCAGGTCCGTGAGCTTTCCTCTCATTTTTAACATGAGGGAATGCTGTCTTTCAGAGACATGACACTGCTTAGAAGTGTGCTTCCCAATGGGAAAGAGCCTTTTCTTGACAGCTCAGTGTTCCACATTCCACTGCATACTAAACCACATCGAGTCACTGTGACAGAATCAGCCTCCACTGTGCAACCACAGGAGAAGGTCATTGCTAATGAACACTCGGTCCTGTCAGTTACACTCACAACCTCGGTAGGGATAATCATTCAATTCTGAAACAAACACTGTTCACTAAATATTTCTTATACATTTGTATTAATTGGTTCAATGTAAGGAGTAAAACGGCCTTTAGGAAATTTTACTGTTGGTTACCTAGTAAATAGAACATTTTATATTACAAAATGTGCTCCCCAATATAAGATTACTTCACAGAACCAAACTTAGCTCATGGGCATCAGTCATAAATGAGTATGATACCGTACCGCTGGGCTGAAGGGAGCTGTCTCCCCTTCCAACAACGGATGAAGCATATTGTCTTTGTAGCTGACGTACCACTTGTAGACCCTGACTCCAGATTAGCCATGTGAGTCTTGTTGGCCAGGACTTGGATATAGGTCACAGATGCCCACCAGGTGTATTTTTTGTTTGTGATATTAGTGGGAGCACACAATTTGGAGAGGAGAAATTGTCATGGGAGGTCCATGCTGTTGAATTCTGTGTGTTCACTCAGGCCAGGCAGTCATTGAATTCCTGCTTACAGAGGATTTCACCTGCTCTTTGATCATCCTGTGAGGACCAGCTAATATTTTGTGATACTTGGAGTCCTTGCAGTCAAATAAAGGACAGTGACAATTTAAATAGTACAAATAAGTATATTCTAAAATAACAAAGAACTGAAATGTGCCAGTAAATCACATTCCCACGGAGAAGATACTGTATACTTGGAAAACTTACGCTTCTCTACATAAGTATGTGTTGTTCAATAAGCCATATCACAGTTGAAGAAATTGTGTATACTTTTTCATGTGCCCCTTTAGAAACCAGGTATTTTACATATGATTGATTTTAGAAAGATTTTGAAGCTGGGGTCTGTCTGTGTAATTAAGATTAAAGTATATGTATATGTATTGTATCTGCAGTTTTCAAATTGTAATTTCCTATGCATTTATTAAAGTATTGTTTTTGCCATGTGGTTTATTAAAATTTTTTAAATGTACAGATCTTTAAGTTTCTGTTCTTTTTATCAAATAATAGTAGTAGGCCTTTTAGCATATTCAATAAGAGAAACATTGGGGGGCAGCGTGTTGGCTGAATTGGCTAATCTTCCACCTCAAGCACAGCATCCCATATGGGCACTGGTTTGTGTCCCAGCTGCTCCATTTCCCAGGCAACAGAAGATGGCCCAAAGCCTTGGGACCCTGCACCCATGTGGGCGACCCAGAAGCTCTTGGCCCTCAGCTTTGGATTGGCTCAGCTCCAGCCATTGTGGTCATTTGGGGACTGAACCAGTGGATCTGTCTCTCCTCTCTGTAAATCTGCCTTTCCAATAAAAATAAATCTTTAAAAAAAAAATTGGAAAATATAATCTTAGAAATTTAAGAAATAACCTGAAATATCTAAATAAAGAGATGCTAAAAGAGCCTTTCTTTGAAAGCAGCAATGACAGGAAAAGAAAGAAGCCACCATGAAAGTAAGGGTGATGAGGACCACTGAAGAGCCCAAGGACACCACTGGTGGGTAGTGGGGACAGCACACCACCCTCCCAAGCGAGGTGACCTGCAGCCTTTGCTGTTTGGCTCAAGAGCCAAGAATGCGTTTTACATTTTTAATTATTTTATCAATGGAATAATATTGTATAATATTGTATAGTGTGGAAATTAAATGGATTTTAAATAAGCTTCATTATCTATAAATAACATGCTATTGGAATACAGCACACTCATTAAGTATGTATTCTGTGATTGCTTTCATGCTACTGTGGCAAAGTTGAGTTACGACAAATGCAAAAGATTTACAACCCAGGGCCCGGCACTGTGGCACAAGTGGTTAAGGTCCTCGCCTTGCATGCCCGGGATCCCATATGGGCGCTGGTTCTATCCCAGCAGCCCCATTTGCCTTCCAGCTCCCTGCCTGTGGCCCGGGAAAGCAGTCGAGGACAGCCCAAAGCTTTGGGACCCTGCACCCACGTGGGAGACCCGGAAGAGGCTCCTGGCTTCAGATCGGCATAGTATCGGCCGTTGTGCTCACTTGGGGAGTGAATCATCGGACGGAAGATCTTCCTCTCTGTCTCTCCTCTCTGTATATCCGCCTTTCCAATTAAAAAAATAATAATAATAAAATAAATCTTTAAAAAAAAAGATTTACAACCCAGCTCTTCACAGGAAAACCTTGCCTACCTTTTGCTGTACACTGCTGTGCCATGTTGAGGCTATAGCACTAAGGGGGGGGTGCAGGGGAGGGAGAGTCTGGTGCTATGGCTCAGTTCGCTAGTCTTCCCCTTGCAAATGCTGGGATCCCATATGCATGCTGATTCACATCCCAGCTGTTCCACTTCCCATCCAGTTTCCTGCTTGTGGCCTCAGAAAGCAGTAGAGGATGGCCCAAAGCCTTGGGACCCTGCACTCACATGGGAGACCCAGAAGAAGCGCCTGATTCCTAGCCTCAGATTAACTCAGCTCTAATTGTTGTAGCCATTTGGGGAGTGAACCAATTTGAAGAATCTGTCTGTCTGTAAAAATCTGCCTTTCCAACAAAGATATATATATTTTTCAAGTGTCTATGGTTGCAGTAAAGCCTTCTTGAGCCCACTTGGAAGTTCCTGTGTCTAAGACACCAAAGTCTTTCCCCTCCCTTGACTTGTTTTTATTGTTTATCCCCTTTTGGGTTTGGAAACAGAAGACTAGCACAATTTTAAATACTACCATGTGCAAACCACCATGCCTTGACTAGCACAGCAGTTTCTTCCCAGAATACCACCATCACCAGTTCATTTAGTGGTTTTCACCATGAAATCTCATCCAGGGTCAAGCATTTGGCCTCCTTAAGCTGCCAGTTGAATCTAATGAATCTAATGATTCATTCCCCAAGTGATCACAATAGCTGGAGCTGAACCAATCTGAAGCCAGAATCCTGGAGCTTCTTCCAGATCTCCCATGCAGGTTCAGGGTCCCAAGGTTTTGGGTCTGCCCTTTGGGGCCATCCTCAACTGCTTTCCCAGGCCACAAGCAGGAATCTAGATGGGAGGTGGGGCAGCCGGGATTAGAACCAGCACCCATATGGGATCCCAGGACATTCAAGGTGAGGACTTTAGCCGCTAGGGTACCACACCGGGCCTCATAGCATCTGATTATCTGCCTGGCTATACTTCTATTTTGATTGGCATTTTTGTGTTCATTTTAATTTGAATGGCCAATACTGTAGCACAATGAGTTAAGCTACTGCCCGCATCACTGGCATCCCATATAAGCACTGGTTTGAGTCCTGGCTGCTCCACTTCCAAAACAAATCCATGTGAATGTGCCAGGGAAAGCAGCAGAAGATGGCTCAAACCTTTGGGTCCCTGCACCCACATAGGAGACTTGAAGGAAGCTCCTAGTTCTTGGCTTCAGATTGGCCCATCTCTGGCCACTGTGGCTATTTGGGAAGTGAGCCAGCAGATGGAAGACCTCTTTCTGTCTGCCTGCCTCTCTAAATCTCTCCCTCTCTCTTCCTATAACTGCATTTCAAATAAATAAATCTTTTAAATAAAATTGCTAATTTTAGGAAACAGCTCCTATTTATACTGTACTAACATCTTCATTTACTGTGTTAATTGAATAGTACTCTGGTTATACTTTAACTCCAACAAAGGTCCCGTGATAACTTGTACGAGCTATGAAATAGACTAAGCATAGATAGGTGGTATGAAGCCTTAGGACTAAACAGAATTTCAACATGAATCATGTTTAACATTAGCAGATTTAAAAACCCAGCCTCAGCAACACACCACCACCACTGTCATTGTCCAGCAGCATTGTGGTGTAACAGGCTCTCACGTGGCTTCCCCCAACCACTGCAGACTATATCGGCTCAGGATGCCACCAGTCAGTGGGAGGATGATACTCTGAGTGTTACCGATGGCATGCCTGTCTCCTGGCCTGGACTTCTCAAAACGTCCTTCTGGTTTGATTTTCAAACTCCTACTGTCTGTCTCACTTGCCAAGCATTGCATATTGGCTTGTGGTTGCTTGATGGTTTTGCTTTTAACACTTCTGTTTATTTTAACCAAATAATGATGCTGTGGAAAAATGTGTGTGGGTTGGTTGTTCTCCAAGACATATTGAGCTATTTCATGGTAACAGAGTAGGATTTTTTTTAAGTAGCAAAGTTTTTAAGAGACCTCCTATAAGCAAGTGTAGCCCTGAAGGCAGACAGACCACCTTTGGTCCCTGGACGTTTCTGGATCTGAAGATCTGACCACATCTTCCTATCTTTTCCTCCCCCCTCTCCCTTCTAGCTTGCCTGAGCAGGGCTACCTGCCTCTGAACAGTGACCACAATGAATGCTTGGCCTAGGGCATGAACAAGGTTGGCAGCAAGGTTAAGAAGCGGTTCTTGGGTTCCTGTTTACCATTTTACCACAGTCACCTGCTAAGGCTACCAGGATCATTCCAGTTCCAACAGGTTCTTAAGTCATTTGACAGGTAGTCTTGGTATCTGAACACAAACTTCTTCCATCCTCTCTTTGCTTCTTCAGAATAGTTTCTAAAGTCCAGAATATTCTTAACCCATTACGTGATATGATTTACAGTGTATGAGCTGTGATGTTGGCTACTAACGAGGTCCTATATGAGGTCCTAGGAGCACTTCTCATCTTTGAGATACTATGATAATTGTTGGGGTCCCTGCAGTGGATGTAGGGGACACGAAGGTGTGAAGAGTATTGTTCCATTGCAGGCAGGGCCACAGGGAACTTCTCCCTGTTTGGCAGGGCCCCCCACGGATGTCTCTGCAGCCACCTGAATGCAGTTCCACCTTCTTTTGCATGGGCACCAGACCACCCTGCCGGGGAATTCTAATCCATCCAGGCATTGTTTGTTACTGTGGGGCTGGTCTTTTGCTCAGCCTGAGCTTGGAGGTTAATGTCGGTGATAATGTCTGGCAAAGGGGTCTTCTATTATTCCTACTGTCTTGGCTGTCCCCATTGACCTTATGCTAATCAAGGGACCTACATTTAGGCTTTCATTCTTTCTTCATTATTTAGATTCCCCTTTTCTTTGTGATACAAGATTGAGTTGTAGGATAAGAATTGTAGCAGGAACTTCTGTTGTTTCTAGGTAAAACTAATGGCAGAATTATCCTTAGAAATTCCCAACTTGACCATGAAGTAAAAAGTCTGAGCCAGAGTTTGACTGATTTTGTATAAATAAAGCGGACAGATTTCCCGCATTGGCCATTATGATCATGAAATCCTAGTGATCCGTCTCTTTCTTTCCTCTTTGTGCCTCATCCACGCACCCTTCTCGAGTTCCGAACTCAGCTGGAGCTGGACTCCGGCAGATAATGAAGCCGGGGAATCTCGCAACACTGATTGGTTGATTGGTTTCTTCTAGAGGAGAGTGAAACTATTTTCAAATGACAGCCATTTTATAATTACCCGATTGGGAATTATCAGACACCACCTCCCTGCCACGTGCACATACCATGGAAAAGAACTCACTATTGCTCCGGATTTTCTGTTAAATAGGAAGCAGAACAAGGTCACATTTCTTTTTTTTTTTTTTTTTTTTTTTAAAGATTTATTTTTATTATTTTTTATTGGAAAGGCAGATATACAGAGAGGAGATACAGAGAGGAAGATCTTCCATCCGATGATTCACTCCCCAAGTGAGCCGCAACGGGTCGATACTATGCCGATCCGAAGCCAGGAGCCTCTTCCGCGTCTCCCACGCGGGTGCAGGGTCCCAAAGCTTTGGGCCGTCCTCAACTGCTTTCCCAGGCCACAGGCAGGGAGCTGGAAGGGAAGCGGGGCTGCCGGGATTAGAACCGGCGCCCATATGGGATCCCGGGCGTGCAAGGCGAGGACTTAACCACTTGCGCCACCGCGCCGGGCCCAAGGTCACATTTCTGAAGAGCATCTTGGACCACATCCAAAATGAAGTCCCAGTGTATTCCTCTCACAATCCCCTCTTTATGGCTGTGGCCAGGAAGGGTTGCAATCCAAGTGATGGGAGCTGGG